TTGAATTCAGGTCTTTGTGCTTGCCAGGCAGGCCACCAAACCGCTGAGCTAAATCCCTGGCCTAGGCCCATATTTTTAAACCACTGTGGCTTCTACTGTTTTCAGTGAGGTTGAATGGTTTCTGTAATCTGTGACTCCCTCTCTCTTCCATTCTAGTTTTAAAAGATGCTGAGTGGAATCTAGTGGGTTTCTGTCCGTGTACTGAGAAATGTAGTTGGATCTCGTTGCTATGACTTTGGAGGTGGGGTCTCATTGCGCTGCCCCGGCTGGCCTCACTGTGCAGCCCTCTTGCTCAGCCTCTCGGAGTGCTGGGCTTGATCACAGCCGTCCACCACCGCACCCAGTTTGCCTCAGCCTCCAGACTAGCTGGGAACATAGCCTTGTCTTACCATGCCTAGCTCGTTCTCATTCTTTATTCCCTTAGACCCAGGACTGAGCTTCAGGTGAACTAGAGGCTGAATTTTTTGGTGCACGCTAGCCAAGCACTCTATCACTGAGCTATGTGTCCAGTTTAGCATACCTAGGAAGCTTCTAGGCGTGGTTCTGAATCTGCAGATTCTTGCTCCATATCCTGGTCTCCAGGAAGAAAATTGCCTCGTGGCTCTCTGTCCATCTCATTGGTTTTCCTTCTGTGGTCTGGTCTCAGTCCAAAGAATCGCTAATTGTCCAGAGGCACAGCTTTACCTGCGAAAGAGCAGCTGGCCGCCAGCCTCCAGGAGCAGCACCTTCAGGATCTGCAGCACATTGGAGCCAAGACCACTGTCCTCTCCGGAAACTTCCAGCCGGTGACTGGGCACAGCTGGGTCCCCAGGGTCTGGCTGTTTCCCCAGCTGGAACTCCTCTAAAGGAAACGTGCACCGGAGCGTCCCATTGGCTGGCTGACGCTTACTTTTTCAGAGTGGTGCTGTTACAGGGGACTCTTCTTATCCGACCTCCTCCCCTCCCCTCTCTTCCCATAAATGTCAGCCCTAAAACATGGTCTGAAGGCTTTCCCTACCCGTCCTGCTTCCTCCCCTTTTATCTTGCACAGGCATTCCCTCCATAAATCTCTCGCACTTCTAACTGTTTTGGCAATGGCTTCCTGGAAGACCCAACCGACACTCGCCCCCTGCAGCTCTCCTGGAGTGCCAAGATCCCATTCTCCCGGGGTATGAATGTCCTTACTGCCCCTCTCCATGGGCCAGTATGCTCTGTCCCCGCCCTCCTCTCTCTGGAGCATGCTCTCTCCCATGTCTCGCCCTGTGCCTGGCACACAGTAAGCTCAGTATTTGCTTTTGAATGAACACAGTGTGCTCTGGAGCGGGGCACTGCCCATCCCATTCTCCCAGCACAGAGAGTCTTCCGGGTAGGGCTGGGAGTGCCAGCTCCAAAGGCCGCAGGGAGGGTCTGCTTCAGGCCAGTGGAAGAGAAAAGCCTCTGAAACGGGAGGCTGGGGGGAAAGCGGCACATCTGCGAGGCCCTGCGGAAGTAGACCCACCTGCCAGGGGGAGTCAGGCCTGGCTTCTGTCTTGATTTGTGCTGGGTGACTCCCAGCGAGGCTTCCCGCTTCTTGAGCCTCCTTCCATCCGTCCTGGTTATGGATGCGCCACCGAGGGAGGGGTGGGGTGGGCGGTCAAGGGCAGAGAAACGGAAACGTAAACGGCAGGAGCACGCTGAAGGCTCTCGGTGGTCCTGGGCCTCGGTCGCAATGTCAGGGTGGAGGGCAGAGAAGGAAATGGAAATGAGAGAATTGGGAGAGAGGGAGAAGTGGAAACAAAAGGAGAGGGGGAAGGATACAAACGTAAACACACAAAGGAGCAAAGGACGGGGAGAAACAAGGGCATGAGAAGTCGGGAGAGGGAGAGGGAGAGAGAGACACACACACCTGTCACCCCAGCTACTCTTGGAGATTCAGACAGGAGGATTTCGAGTTTGGATTAAACCCCGTCTCAAAACAATAAAAGGGTCTGGGGATGTAACTCGGGGATAAAGCACCCCAGATGCAGTTCTCGGTACTGGAAAGGGCGGGGGAGGCAGAGCAACAGTGAAAAATTGTAGAGACGCAGAAGGAAAGAGAGAAGGAAAGAAATGGGGAGGCAGAGTGGGAGAGAAGGATAAGGAGACAGAGGGAAAGGAAACAAATTATGAGAGTCACAGCTGGGTAGAGAAAGGGACCAGGAGATAGCTATGAGAGAGAGGCTAAAAGATGACAAAGACTGACGGGGCCTGGAGGAAAGAGATGGGCAGGAAGGAGGGAGGGAGGGAGGGCAGGAAGGAAGAGGAGGAGGAGGGTGAGGTCTGACACATGATCCCATCCAGGCCCGTGCATTTCCCCACGGTGAGGGGACGGTTTCATTCAAAAATATGCTCCATCCCTGGAGCCATTGGCCCTTTTCTATTGGTGCAATAGTCCAGGATCACATTCCTGACATTGTCCACACATGGATAGATGTATGATAGATAGATGGTAGATAAAGAGATACGTTCACATGCAATTTGGTCTTATAACAAATTATCAGCAAAAGTGAAATTTAAGTGATAAAATACTCAAATATATTCTAATCACTAGTGTTTAAGTGAATATTTTTTTTTACTGTTTAGGACCTGGACCTGCTCTACCTATGTTTTTATTTTTGTTTCTCTTCTCTCATCTCAGATTTGTGGAAGGAGGGAGGGAGGGAGGACAGGAAGGAGGGAGGGAGGGCAGGAAGGAGGGAGGGCGGGCCAGAAGGAGGGAGGGCAGGAGGGCAGGAATTAGGGAGGACAGGAAGGAGGGAGGGCAGGAAGGCTCCCACAGACCCACCCCCTCCCTCCCCACTGGCGCCCACCATGTACTCGGTCCCACCCCAGGACTGGTGAGGATGGCATAGCCTTGACCATCTTTCTGTCTAGCCTGTCCTGTCCTGCTGGTTTGGGGCCCTTCATCCTCCTCCCTCCGAGGCCTCTGAGGGGTACGGTGGTAGGAGGCAGGGTGGGGGCAGAGCCTGTCCTGTAAGCTAACTGACGTGGCCGCTCGGGTGGAGTGGGAACAGAGCACCCAGTGACACCCTTCCTGGAGGCCTGAGCAAGCTCCAGCCTGCCTCCCTTTGGATCCCACATGGGGAGAGACCTCAAAGATCTCCCTGCATAGAGGGGGAAACTGAGGCCAAGACAGAGGCAGGGACAAGCCCAGGCAGTGGCCTAGCCCTAGTCCCGGAGTCCCCATCCAGTCAGAGCTGAGAGAGGTCACAGACACTGTGGCCCAAAAGCTTTTCTGAGACTTGCTGTTACCTGGGAAAGCTGCCTCCTGCTCGTAGGTGTCCTGAGGCTTTAGTGACAGTGTTTCCCATATCAGGTGCGGTGCTAAGAGTCTTCTTGCCCAGTATCCTGCGAGGTTGCTGCTGTGATTATGTTCATTACACAGAGGAGCAAACCAAGGCACAGAGAAGGTTTCTAAGCCCCAGGTCACACATGCCAGCATGAAAACTGAATCTGTCTGACGTCCCAAACCGGGTGTCTGCTGCCGGCCCCAAACCTCTCGGATGATGGAAAGGAAAAGAGTCTGCACTGTGGCAAAGGGGTTGCAGAGGTGGGAGGCTGTTCCTCTGAAAGGACAAATACCAGAGTGAGGGTTTATTTTAGATGTCAGAATTCCACCCCCCCAGACAGGGGATTCAACTCGGCGTAGTTTTGTCCTTGTCCTTAGGAGCCGGTCTCCCTCCCACTCCTGTTACTGCTCTCTCTACTCCACACCCGCTTCCCCAACTTCCGGAGAGGAGTTTAGCTCCTGGGCTACACCCACCCGTTCTTCCTTCTCTTCCTTGCTGCCAGTTAGGACCCTTTGGGCCGCAGGCCCAGGCTGGTTCTGAAGCGTCGGAGCTGGGCCTGCCCACCCTGCAATCTTCCCCCTCTGCTGCACAGACTCCTGCTCCTGTCTCTCCCTGGCTCCGCCTCCCGGGGCTGTTCCTCCTGGAGAGCCTTGGATGGAGACTGAGGGGATGTTGAGGAAGCAGTAAGCTGACAGGCAGACGGACAGGCAGACAAGCCACTGTCCTGGCCAATCCGGATTCCCAGCTGAGCTCCCCCAAACCTACCCTCCTAAGCGCTAACTCCTCCCCAGCTGGGGTCTGATTGTCATCTGAGGTTTTCTGACTCTCACGGAGCCTCAGTTTCTTCCCTTGCACTATGGGTAAAAGTAATTATCTTTACCAGACGGCTTGAAGATGAATCAGTTGAGGGACACAGCGACAAATGCCGAGTGTATCCCCTCCTTAACAGAGGGACCCCCGTCTCTCGAGGTGGCATGTGATACCCGCTGGATCCCCGGGTGACCATAGTCCACCGATAAAGGTGGACGGAGAGCTGGCCCTGGTTCCATTCTCTGCTCCAGAGCATCAGCCCTGCTCTGTGTCTTTTCCAAGGGCTACTCCTGCTGTGTCAGCCCATCTATTAGATCAGGGAAGCTGCTGCTAAGTCAGGCCTGTTCTTAAAGTTCCAGAGAGTGGGGGAGCCCTGGACCACTGTCCCCAGGTTATGCCAAGGGCCTTTCTAAGAACCAAAACTTGGAAGGAGCACCAGGGCCTGGGCACTTCCTTTCCCTTGGGAACTCCCAGGGTGGTACCCTGGAGCCCCAGCCCTGCCCTCACCTCCTTTACCCAGCTCTGGCCCAGATCCATGGCCTCTCGCCAATCTGAAGGAATCTCGCCAATCCTGCAGTGGGAGGAAAAAGCACAGGTCTGGGGGGCCTCCTCCAAGCCCCTGAAGCCTCTTTCCTCCCCAAGGAGACACAGCACCCTGCTTGGCCCTACCTCCCATGGCCCAAGGTTTTGGCTTCCGCAGCCCCTCCAGGCGAGGCTGGCAGGTGACTGGATGGCCGTGAGCAGGACGAGCGAGTGGAGGCGTGGGCCCTGCAAGTGCACTCCACAGCCAATCAGCGGCCTGCCAGGCTGGTGGATTCGGTTACAAGCCCAAGATCACCCCATACTCCTTCCTCCTCCTCCTCCCGCAGTTCCATTCATTGGTCCCGCCACACGGCCACACGAACCCTGCTGGGTACTGCTTCCAGCTGCTAGCTGCAGGGACAGGCATCAAGGGCTCTGTCTGACCAGGCTGGGCACAGGCAAAAATGAGAGTTCTGGCAGTGCTGTTGGGGGTGCTGGGCTTCCTGGGCGTGGCTCCAGGGGGTTCCCCTGCCCGCCACTGGGACAGCACCTCCTGCCACTTGACCAGGCACATCCCTGGCAGGTCTCTGGGGTCCCTGAGCTTTCTGGGCAAGGATGCTCAGGGTCTGGCTCTGTTCCTTGCCCACTGGGATGCTCATGGGAGGCTGCAGGTATGCAGCTGGCAGGATGAGCCGGAGCTCGTTGATGTCTTCAGTGCCCTCTGTGTTCACGAGACCACTCAGCGCTTCTTTATCCACACGCCAGGACCCGAGCTGCAGAAAGCACTGGCCGCCCTTCAGAGTCGGACCTGCCAAGGGCCCACAGGGGCCAGGGTGGTGCGAGCAGTAGAGCAGAGTGGAGCACCAGGCAGAAGGCACCTTCGAACGAAGAGAGGATGGACCATGCCTGGCACCCTATGGTGTGGAGTCGGGGACTCTGCTGGAAACTCCTCAGAGCTGGGTGAGCCGTGGGGTGTGGCTGGGCATCTGGTTAAGGAGGCAGAGGCAGCAGCCCTTGGCCCCTGCTCTCTCTCAGGTTGTGTCTTTAGGGGGATGACTTTACCATTTGGAATTCAGTTTCCTTGTCTGTAAAATGAGCATGATCATGAGTCTTCTCGTGGGATGTTTAAATGAAGTCATGGGGCCAGGGATTTAGCTCAGTGGTTCTGCCACCTGTCCCGCAAGCGCAAGGACCCAAGTTCGATCCCCAGCACCAAAAGGAAAAGAAAAACAACAACAACAAAAAAACCATAAATGAAGTTATGGATGGGAAAAGTTTTCCACAAATTTGGGAGTCCCTATTAACCACCATCTGAGGGAAGAGGCAGGCTGGGGTGGATCTAGGCTTTTCTGAGCCAAAAGCCACTCCCCAAAAGGAGGGTTTGTTTAGTAGAACAGGTACTGAAACTTGCAGACCTAGGTTCAAATTCCAACTCAGCACATCCAAGCTGAGCAAGTTATTTCCCCTCACCGAACCCATTTTCTCGCCTGTAAAGCTAAGGTGACACCTTCCTTGCAGGGCTGCTGTGAGCTTGGGTGTGGGAAGTACTAGGTATTTGGGATATGTCCAGCACAGGGCGCTACTGCTTGTATCATGATGGAATGCTATTTGCATCTACGTGGAGGACTAGGAAGGATTTGGCACACCAGTGGGGCAGTTCACCATCCTGGCCAAGCCTCGTTGTGTTAGTAAGAAATGTTGCACCCTGCCTGTTTGTCATTCCATCACATACACATTCATGGCTTTGGAGTTTTATTAGGGGTGTGAGCTTGGGAACTCTGGGGGAAGTTGCCACCTCCCTCGAGGAAGACCTTCCTGGCAATCATGGATGGGCTGCCCAGCACTGGAAATTGCCCAAAAGGGTCTGCAGTCTGAGTGTGCTTTGTAAGCCTGGAAACTTTAAAGAGTTTCACAGAGGAAAAATGATTGGCTGGAGGTCACCCAGGGGGTTTATGTCAGGGCTGGTGTGAGAACCAGGACTTTGCCTCCTTGATACCAGATAGGCATAGGGATCATGCCTGGGCCCCTGCTGAGCTGATGCTCCTTCCTTCCACGCAGGAATCTTCCAGGGCCCCGATCTCTGTTGCCGGGAGCATGACCACTGCCCACAGAACATCTCACCTTTGCAGTACAATTATGGCATTCGAAACTTTCGATTCCACTCCATCTCCCATTGTGACTGTGATGCCAGGTTGGCAGCAGACAGGGGAGGGTCTGGGACTTGGGGGATAAGACAGAGTCACCCAGTTCCTGAGTGTAGATTCTAGGGTTCCAGAGAACCCGAAAGCCAGCCTACACTCTTGTGCAGGTGAGAAAACTGAGACCCAAGGGAAAGAATTACTGGACCCCAAACCATCTGGCTAGTAGTAGTAGGATTGGCTGTGGGAGAAGCTAGGAGGCTCTCTGTGACCCAGGGACCTGAATACCAACTCTGGGACAGGTTTCAGCAATGCCTGAGAAACCAGCATGACTCCATCTCCGACATCGTGGGTGTGGCCTTCTTCAATGTGCTGGGGATCCCTTGCTTCGTGCTGAAGGAGCAGGAGGCGTGTGTGGAGTGGTACTGGTGGGGCGGGTATGTGGCTGCCCGCCCCGAGTCCTTTCCCAGCCTGGTGAGGGAGAGCTGTCTGTCTCTCCTCCAGGGCATGATGCCTTGTTGGTCTTGTCTTTTCCTCGGGGTAGGGCTTAGAGCGCAGACCCTTCTCAGATACCCCCCATAACCAGAGGGTGGGGTGGGAGAGGAGACTGGCAGACACTCGGTCTCTGTGGAGAGGACCCGGAGGGCTTCTGGGAGCAGAGGTTCAGTCATTGATTGTTACCAACTGCTACCTTCCAGGTGTAAAACATATGGTTCCATGCCCCTTGCCCACCTCCAGCCCAGGACCTATTACAATACTTCTTGGAACTCCCTGGCCACCTCCCTGCCTCCCAGTCCCCAGAGCCCAGCCCCCACCAAGCCACAATGGAAGCAGCATCCTCAGAAGAGGCGATCACAGCAGAAAGTGTCTAGGCACACCAGCACGGCCAATGCCACAGTCTTCCAGGCCCCCGTGGCCTCCTCCAGACCTGATGTGACCCTTACAGCCCAGCTGGTGGTCCTTCAAACAGCCCTCCATGGTCCACGGGGTAGTAAAAAACCTCAGGGTAAGTTCTTAATCTAACCTTGGGAGTTCCTGATGTGAGAGGTATCCCTGCCTCTGTGTGCATTGGGAGGTGGGTATGTGTTGTCTCTTTCCTGTCCAAACACTTCCCAGAGTATCCCGCCACCAAGCTACATCCCCAGCTCCTACTGCTGCAATTTTTGTAATCTACAAATTGGACGGTGTTACTCCCCGAGCCCCTCCCCGAGCCATCTCATGCCATCATTTCAGCTGACAAAGTTCTAGCATTCAGAGGCCCCCAGCTTCTATAGATCCTATCCTCTAGTTAAAACTCCCATTTCTACAAACTTCATGTGGTTCCTGCAAGGGCTGGGGATATAGCTCAGTGGTAGAGTGAGACAACCAGCCTCCTCTCGCCTCAGGGCCTTTCCATATGCTGTTTTGTCTGCCTGGAGCACTGTTCTCTCCTTTTTTACTCCTAGCCTTGCTTAACAGTCTCAGGACTCTGTGTTCTCCCATGGTGGCACTGCTGTATGAGTGTAGCAGAGGGAGACACGGTGGTTGCGTGACTGAGCATGTGTACTGGTGTTTTTTCTGGGTGGTGGCCGGCGTTGGTAAGGCATCCTAGTGGACTGGGCTCCCTCCACCACCACACGTTCCCAGGAACCCGCTGTGCCTGCTGCAGCTTCCACCTCCTGGACCAATGTACACACCAGATCCGGCCCCAGGAAACCAAGTTCCAGCTGCTGAACAGTGGCCGTGAGCCCCTCTTCCACTGCAACTGCACGCGCCGGTGAGGCCTGCTGGGCCCCTAAGGGATGGGCTGCCTCTGCTGCCAGGCACTGGGAATAAGCGCCTTGCTGGCAAGATCCTGTCCCAGCCTAGGCCTACCTTTGCCTGCAGCCTGGCACACTTCTGGAAGCTCCACAGACCACCTGTAGGTGCCAACATGCTTTGGGAGCTACTAGGCACCACTTGCTTCAAGCTGGCCCCTCCGCCAGACTGTGCTGAGGATAAAGGGTAAGCAGTGGCAGAGCCAGAAATGGACTGGACTGCTTATATCCCAACTGTGTGTCTGGGCCAAGGGGATGGGGAAGGGCCAGGAAGCTCACTGTCATCACCCCGCTAACTCATAGTGTTCTCAGTACAGCTCTGCAGGACTCAGGGCTGTATCTTAGCACCGACATTTATGTGAGTCCTTGGTAAGTTGATTCAAGCCTCCGTTTCCTTATGTGTAAAATGGTTGTGGGAGGAAATTGCTTGTGCACTTAATCCTTTTTTTTTTTTTTTTGTGGTACTAGGGAATGAACTGAGGCCCTTGCCAATGCTAGGCGAGTGCTCTAACACTGAGGCACATCCCCAGCCCTTATTGCTTATTCTTTATTGTTTGGTTTTGGTTTTCTGAGACAGAGTCTTGTTAGGTAGTTCAGGTTGGCCTTGAACTCATGATGTAGCACAGGCTGGCCTCAAACTCATAGTGAACCTCCTGCTTAAGCCTCCCAAGTGCTGCGATCACAGGTATGCATCACCACTCCTGGCTCTTAATGCTTACTCCTAATCCACAATCTTGTTTGGACTGTGATTCTCAAAGCCAGTCCCATTTTACAGATAAGAAAGAAACCAAGGGCCAAAGTGAGGTATAGTCAGCTAGTAGAAACAACCAGGACTCTGGGCACTGACCCAAGTTTATTCTTCCTCCTTCTAGATGTAAGCCCACCCTCTCTGCCTGACCCTGGCCCTACTCTTCCCTAGGCCTGCATTTTCCTGTCTGTATAGTAGGGTGGAATTCTTTAAGCCTCAATCACCTGCTCCCTTTTCTTACCTGACAGCTGCTCCAGAGAACTGAGAGCCGTCAAAGTGTCAGCACGGCACTTACTGCAGCTTCAGCAGAGACAACTCCAACTCCAGCAGGATAAAGGCACTGATAAGGCGTGGGCACGGCCTTTGCAACCCCCAGCCACCCCCCTGTCATTCTACAACCAATGCCTGAACCTAACTCAGGCAGCCCGAAGACCCGAAGGGCAAAAGAAGTTCTAGAGTTAGTGACCCCAGTGTCGGCTTCCCTAGGCATCAGCTTGTACCCTGTCCCTGGCTATGCTAGGCCCTGGGAATCTTGACTTCCCTCTGACGGTTGGTAGGGAAGGGGCTGTTAAGGATAGCCAGGAGGCTGCACGGGGTGTGTGTGTGTGGTGTGCACGTGTGGACCACAAGGCCCAAATGCTGGATCACGTTTCCTGCTGTGCTGGATGACCTTGAGCTGGTGACACAACCCCTCTGTGCCTGGATATGATGTTCAAAAGGCTTCCTCTGTTGAGCTTTGGCCTTGTCCGGGAACTTTACATACAGCTGGAGATGGGGAGAGAGTAGCTTAGTGCAGCAGCAACAATGGGCTCCAGGAAAAGGTGCATGTGTGTCCCGGTCCCAAGAGCAATGCATACATAGCTCAAGAACCTGCTTCAGGAAGCCCCGCCACCTGGCTGTCAGGCCTGGGGCAGCCGGTGGGAAAAGAGGGATGTCACAGAAATGCCTGCCTCTGAATCCATGTGAGGGTGCTGGAAAGGCCTTTCCAACTCCGCCTCTTCCGGGGAGGCCTTTTCTTTTAATAATTGCCGAGTCTTTCCTAGCCCATTCCTGGACTACTCTTTCTGCCCTAACCCTGAATTCAAATCTCCATGCCCTTGGGCAATGGACCTCCCTCTTCCTACTCTGAGCTTTGGTTTCCTCACCTGAAAAACGGGATTGTAAATATGACCTACCTCATAGTGTTGTTGAAGATTAAATTATATGTGTGTGTGTGTGTGTGTGTGTGTGTGTGTGTGTATTGCTTAACACTCAGTAAATATTTTTCCCTTCAGCACACAGCCAAAGTGTCTGATCTTGAGAGGTTGACTGATATACCTTCTTGAAGGCCTCAGTTTGCTCATCTGTATAATGTTTCTAAGAATGGCCCTGAGCCCACAGGGTGGTGGCACAGACGAAAGATGGTTTGAATCCTGTATGTAACTGGTGCCCGGTGAATATCAGCTCTATCATTCCTTTGCCTCTCTCGTCCCTGCTTCTGACTGACCATCCCTAGGCCTGAACTGTTAACAAGTTAGGAAGGAGACAGGAGTAAAGCTGGAGAATTTAATTCCTCCCCTACCATCCCAGATGGGGGCCCAGGAGGGGCTCTGCTGATTGTCACAGTTGAGGTGCCAAGACTGAGTTTTGGGAAACTCCAACTAGCCGCCCCTGGCCAGGACAGAGTGGCAGGTGTGCATACAGCTGGAGTGGCAGCAGGAGAGAGGCAAGTGGGCTAATGGAAGATGCAGGCACTGTGGAGCCACCTAGGCCCATCTGCCCACTTTACCCTCAGGGCCCCAGGCCTCCTTCCGCTAGCCCCTGCCTGCCCTGGGGGCTGGGAGACAGGCTGTCAGGGTCAGGGGCCTCCTGATCAGGTCCCCAGGGGCCGCCACCACCAGGATCTACGGTCTCGAGGCGCAAGGCAGGCAGCAGGCCCAGGCTTCGAGGCACAGGTGATGGGGAGGCCCAGGGCCCAGGCAGCCCAGAGGGCCCTTCCTCACTACTGCCTCGGCTGCTGCTGCCATTGCTCCTGTCTGGGGCCACACAGGGTACCCGGCGACTCTGGGGCGAGGGGCTACGGCTGGCACCACGGCGCTCACGGGATGAGGGTCGGAGGGCAAAACTGGGGAAACGGGCCAGTCCTGGGCTGCGGCTACGGTGTCGCTTGGACTTGCCAGGACTGGGGCTGCGGGACTTGGGTGCGAGCAGCTCCAGAGTGCTGTCGTCCTCACCCTCCGAGGAGGTGCCTGAGCTGTCTGTGCTGCTGCTGGCCGACTCCGAGGTAGGCAGCGAGATCTGGAGGGAACGCTGGTCACTGGGGCATCCCGTTCCACACGGCCAGTGGGGCCTCTTGGAACCACTCCCCACCTCCCTGTAGGCAGACCTACTGGTCTGATGTCACAGAGCACAATGTGGAGACTGTGGCATTCTACGGGGCCATGAGTCCCTCCCTCGGAACCCTACAAGATGACCTATTTACCTGGAAGGGTTCTGTGACACCAATGAGGATGCTGAGGTTGTGGCTGTAATAGCCCAGGATGAAGTCTCCATGGCCCTTGGGTAGTGATTCCTCACTGAATGTCACCTGGTGGACCCAGGGATATATCCCAGATTGGGGTCAGGGGGCAGGCTCAGGACCCCCAAGCTGAGTGTGGGGCTTTCGCCCTCTCGCCCCCTCCTTTTAAGTACCTGGTAGATATTCCCGTCCACATCTTCATGTTTGGCCCAAACATAGGCCACATAATCCTTGCAGTGGCGGAAACCCACCTGGGGCAGGGAGAGTGAGGGTTGGAACTCCAAATTCCAGTCCCCCGGGGTAGCATCAAACTCTGGACCAGCCAGGGACCCAGTCAGTCCTGCCTTGGTACCTAGCTGTTCCCCCGCGCCCCTTCCTCCCCTAAGCCATTGACCTCCCCTTCCCTGCTCACCCGGTACAAGCCGATCCAGTCCCAGGAGCTGCGGGCAAACACTGTTTCCATGCGATACCTCACCACAGCCTGCTCTGGCCGCACCCACTCATCTGCCACCTCCAGCCGTACCAGTGGCACATCGTCCCTGAAGGCAAACTGCCCAGGCGAGGCAGGGCAAAGGGCAACATCAGGGGAGACTCTAGCGTCCCACACACCCAAGGGCTCTTGGGCCAGAGTCAGCGCACATTAGGTGGGATGAAGGGACTTTCATGCTACTTCACAGACGGGAAACAAAGATAGAACAGAACCAGGATAAATATCAAACTTCCTGCTTCCCAGCCCAGGGTTCCTTCTGTCCATAAGTTCCTTAGAGAATCGCGGGGGACACGGCTTTGAAGTGAATGCACCCTACATTGGGCCCTGGCCCTGACACTGGCAAGTTCTGAATAGGTTATCGGCACGTGCCTTAGCCTCTCTGACTAGCAGGGTCCCCTTAGGGATAAACTCAGAGGCTCTTATTTAATACCTGGGATGGTTCTTATTCATTCACCGAGATAACATTTTTGTGTGTACGGTACCAGGGATCGAACTCAGGACCTTGCACTTGTGAGGTGGGCAGCGGAACCACTGAGCTAAATCCCTGGCCCGACTGAGAACATTTTTAAGCATCCTGTAAAATTTCCAAGTAACAGATGCTCAATAAATAATTTGCCTATAAGCTAGCAAGAGAGATAGGTAAATTCTTACAACACAGTGCTCTGGGTTAAGCTGAATACCCCTGAATAGACAAGAAGAACCCTGGTTGGATCGGCAGAGACCTCAGTTCATTTCTAGCCTCTCTGCCCCTAACTTGCTGTGTGACCTTAAAGTGAGGCTGTAGCCATCCCAAGACTTAATTTCTCCACACGAATCTTAAGCACTGAGGGCCCACTAACAATCGTCTTATCCCTAGTCCACGAAGACATGTGAACCCTGAGAATACTTCCCGCAGGGTCAACCCAGCCAACCAGGTCACCGCAATGAGTGAGGTAGCTGGGGTAGTGGGCAGCCATGGTATTGGCTCCACCCGTGTCCCTAAGGAAAGGAAAGGTTTAGGTTTGGTGGTGCCAGACTCGGGCCTTTGTCTACTCCTCTGTTGATCTAGTTTCAAATGTCCCTCCCTCTGTTTCTGAGCCAAGATGTTCCAGAAGCAACGGGCACATTCTCTCCTGGGATGAATGGCTAAAGGCCTACCTGAAATGCCCTCCAAGGGCTCACCAGGTCAAAACCCTATGAAGCCCTGTTCTGACTGTGCTGCCTTGGATAAGAGACCTAAGTTTTCCACGATTTAGTTTCTTTAGCTAGAAAAACAGAAAGGAGGCTTTGGACACCTCAGGGCCTGATAAAACAATCAAAGGGATGATGTATATACAGTGCCCTACATCAGATGTGACACGTAGTAGGTACTGAACAGGCAACATTTTTGAGGGACAGTCTTGAGAGACAAGATAGGAAAGACAAGGTGATTTTTCTTTTTTCTGTGCTAGAGATTGAACACAGGGTTTTGTGTGTGCTAGGGAAGTGCTCTATCGTTCAGCTATCTCCCCAGCCTCCCAAAAAGAGTGATTCTCAAGAAAAGGTCCCTGGCTGAAGGTTAAAATTCATGCTCAAGCCCTGTCACAGGAGGTCAAGCAAGGGCAGAAATCCATCACCAACTAATGACACTGACAAACGTTTCACTAAGTGACCATATGACCAAGTTACCAGGCAGAACATTCTCTGGTCTACAGGGGTCTTTCTTTTTTTCTTTTGAGACAAGGCTCTCTCTATGTAGTTGAGACTAACCTGGAACTCACTGTGTAGCCCAGGCTGGTCTCGAACTCACAGCGATCCTCCTGCCTCAGCCTCCTGAGTGCTGGGATTACAGGCATGAACCACCATGCCCGGCTTACAGGGGTCTTTCTTATCAGATCAAGATACCTGGAGAAGCCAGAGTGCATTTTCAGGATTGGAAAAGATGGGATCTACCCTACTACTGTACTTCTGCCTCTGAGCCTCTGTGTGACTTGGCATACCTGCCTACCTCAATAAGACCCTCAGGTTTCTCCACAAACAAACAAACAAAAGCGAGTTCATCTTTCATATCTGATTCTGACATTCTAGGATTTCTTTCCCCCTTTTACTTTGGCAACAAGAAACCTCAATGCTAAATACAGTTACCCTTCAGGATTTATGGGGAATTGGTTCCAGGAACTCTGGTAGACACGAAAAGCCAAGTATGTTTAAGTCCCTTATATGAAAAGGTATAGTATGTGCATATGACCTCGTATACCCACCTGTATATTTTAAATAATTTCTAGGCTATTTATAATACCTAATACAAAGTAAATGCTATATAAATAGTTGTTATACTACATTGAGGAAAAAATAACAAGAAAAGTCCACATAAGTCATATAAATTCACTATAGACTTAATACTTTTTCTGAATATTTTCTATACACAGTTGGTTGAATCACAGATGCTGAACCTATGATACAAAGCACTAATTGGCCAGGCATGGTGGTGCACGCCTGTAATCCCAGCACTCGGGAGGCTGAGGCAGGAGGATCGCTGTGAGTTTGAGACCAGCCTGGGCTACATAGTGAGTTCCAGGTCAGTCTCAACTACATAGTGAGACCCTGTCTCAAAAAACAAACAAACAAACAAACAAAAAACCCAAAAAAAACTTTGGCTTTGTGCTTTTTTTGTATCTCTACTTCCTTCCCCATCACTACTTTACTCTCAAAATGCCTAGGCCTTAAGGAAGAAAGAAAGAATGCCACATAGGAGTTGAGTAAAAATGATTTGGCTAGTTTTATACATGTGGATTTCAATATAAGTTGCCCTAAACCTTTCTTAGCGGAAGCAAGTCAGTCAGATTAGTGAAAACAGCGTGAACTCAGGCTGGCTTGGATTCAAACCCTAACTCTTCCTCTTAGTAGCTATGAATCCCTGGGCAAGCGATGTTGTGACTCTCGGCCTCTTCCTACGAAACTGAGGATTATAACCCCCGCTCCCACTCTGTTAGGACAACTGGCTGCCGTAGGCATGAGGGGTTCCTGGTGGGCAGTGGGAGGCTGAGCTGGGCCACAGAGGTGCCACGAGGGGAGGGTGACGCCAGGACTCACCCGCAGAAGGAACTGAGCGGCCACAGGCTTGTGGTCACTGACTGTGTACTCCATGTGGCTGCGGTAGCTGTGCTGGGTCACCTGGAGCCGGTGGCTCTCGCGTCCTGAGGGGCTAGGACCTCCGCCCGGAGCCTTGACCTTCCACAGGATCCGGTCCGTCCAGGCTGGCTTGCGCTTCTTGGCGCTGCAGTGAGCAGGGGTAGCTTGGACTTCAGGGGCTGGGGATCAATCAGAGCTCCCAGCCTGGCCTGCAGCCCCTTCTTCCTCCCGCAGTTTCCCATCTGTAGCAGACTTCAGCCTATGTCCCCCACCCTATCCCAGGGCTCACCTGGTATCATATTTGTTGGTACCCACATCAAACTTGAAGGTGGGGGCAAAATGAAGGGGCCCCTCCTCGAAGCCCTTCAAGATGGGCCAAGTGTTCTTGGCTATGTTGAGCTGTGGGGGTCCAGAAGGACAGAATGAGACAAGCACATAGGACCTCCATCACGCAGGGGGTGTGGAGCTGGTGAAGGTAAGGACCACAGCCTAAGGTAAACAAGTGTCTTCCAGGGCAGCCTGGGCTAAACAGTGAGATCCTGTCTAAAGAAAAAAGAGACAAAAAGTGTGTCCCAGGAAATGTTCTGTGTGCATGGAGTTTGGGGTGGGGGCTAGGGTTCCCCACCTGGTCTTTCTCCCAGAGTTGATGGAGCTGGTCGCTGTCGATAGCAAACTTGACATAGTGCAGGTCGTAACTATCAATCCGGAAGTTCAGGTCTCCGAACCAGAATACAAGGCTGTTCACAGGGAGGGGTCAGTGAGGCCCCGGTGTGAAAGGACTCCACACAGTTCCATCCCGGCCCCGTCTGACAGCACAGGTGCCTCTAGACACGCCAGTGGGTGGGTAGGCGGCAGCACAGGTTTTAGCCCAACAAGAAGCCAAGGGGACGGGGCGCAGGTCTAGAGGAAATGAGGTTGCACCCGCCGCTCAGCAAAGCTCCGCTGCGGGCTCTACCCCTCCCCAGCAGACCGCTCGCCTCACTCCCTACGGGGAGTTGGTTTGGATGGTCACTGCTCCCAACAAACCCGCGTCTCTCCACGAGCCCCACCCCGACGGGTTCTCCACAGGGCCCCTGGCCATACTCGTGATCCAGGATGCCTTGTGCACCGGGTCCCTGGAATTGCTGGAGACTCAGGATAGTTTGAAAATTGTCCTTGCGCTGCTCCGCTTTGTCCATATGTGCAGGCAGGTGGCAGTTGAGGAAGCAGAGCATGTGCCCAAAAGCCGCCAGGCGCACACTCACTCCACCCTTGTTACCCTAGGAAGGAAGGATGGGGCGGTCATGGGCGGGGCCCAGGCAGGCAGGGAGAGGAGGCCAGGGCAGGCACCAGGGTGTGAGGGTCCTAGGGAGGGGGTGGGCCCCAAAGGAGAGGGTGTGGTGTTAGGCGGAGCTAGGGGAGGCCACGGATAAGACGTCTGTGAGTCGGTGGGGCTCCAGGGCCACTTCCGGCCCCATTTCCTCCCGGCCTTTCCTCCAGGCTCACCCAGTAGCCACCCAGGCCAGTTCGTGTGCAGTCAGTCTGCACGTCCCGCAGGAAGGGCAGGTGGTAGTACTTGGCGAACAGCAGGAGGATGACGCCTTGCATCCTGACGGTACTCACCTGCAGGGGGAAGCCGGAGGGGACAGGGTTGGAGGCTGGGACACAAAGCCCTGGCCTCAGACCCTGCCTTTGTCTTTTCCCTGTCCTTAAGGTCTACGCCTATTTCACTAACCCAGTAGCTGTGGCCCAGCAGTCCCCAGAGTGAGTCAGCGGGGGTGAGGGTGGGGGTGGGGGGAGATGGGATCAGGAATCCAGGAGGCCCCTGCTCTTCCAAAGGGTGAAGGGCATTACCAGCACGAAATTAAAAGGCCCCAGGGCGTCCATGAATAGCTCGCTCCACTGGTCCGTGAAGAGAGCGTCCTTGAGTCGCTTGTTGATCATGGAATTCACTTCCTGCAACCTAGGGAAGTTGGGGGTGCGGTGGCCTCAGACTGGAGGGGCCTCCTAGAAACCCCTGCCATATTAGGGGTCCAGAAGGCCCCAGGAAGTGAGGAAGGGGTCCGCCTGCCCTTCCCCTCACCCTATGGCGATCATGTCTGCGCTGTCACTGCCATCGCCACCACCCAGGTGGAGGAGGGACGTGACATCATCTGGAGGCATGGCGGTGCCCACGTTCCATGTGACCACAGTGACCCTGGCATCAGGGACATAGGAGGGTTTACTGCTGGGCACCATTTCCCCGCTCTCCCTTCCTCCCACGGGGGTCTATCTGGGGAGGTAAAGTGAGGCAGATGGGACCCACCATGGGCCCAGGGATCCTCCTATCTCCCTGGTGAGACAAACTGAGAAAATGACCAAAACCCTAGGCAAGGGTTCTGAGGGTTCCAGAGTGAACCCAGACCCCTCCCTTGGGGGAACCCTCTGGAGACAAACTGAGTCAGAGTAGGTCATCATCCTGGAAGAACAGCCAGTCTCCAAATTCAAGCCCCCAAACCCTTTCTAGGGAGAGGCCCTCCTCACCGGAATCCAGCGTCGCTCTTGCAGGTAGGCTGAGCTGACCAAGAGGAGGACGGTGAAGTGGGTGTGGAAAGAGAAGTGGCCACTGGGGCTGGAGTTCCTCGGGCTTGAAGGCTGGGGCTCAGGCCCCTGCCGGGCACTGCACCTTGGAAGCCAGGCCCTGTACCCTGGGTGACAGGCCCTGTGCTCTCGGAGTCAGGTCCCACACCCTGAGTGCCAGGCTCTGCACTTTGGGTGCCAGGCCTGGGAACGGCCATCTCAGGGGCTGACGGGACACAGGGAGGGCGGTTGGGGGAGCGGTTGGGGGAGCGGCTGGGGGAGCGGCTGGGAGATCGAGGTGGCTTGGGCAGGGCTGGGGGCACTGTCTGGCCTGAGGAGGTCCCTGGCCGAAAGGTAGGGGACAAAAGTCCAGGGGAACGGGTGCCAGGCTCTGGAGGGCTCTGGCCCACATCCAAGGGCAGGGTCTGGGGTGGCCGTGGCAGGACAGGATCCTCAGGGCTGTTGCGAGGAGCCTCAGGTCGGGCTCGAAATGTGGGGGAGAACCGGAGGTCTGGGGAGGTTTGGACCAAGGATGGGAAGACTGTAGGACCGGACGCCTGGGCTGGAGGCTGGACATGCCCCTCAGAAGTGAGGAGAGGTCTGGGGACTGGGGTATCCTTCTGCCTAGCTGTTGTCTGTCCTGTAGGTGTGGGGGCTGAGGCCATAGATGAAGGAATCAGGGTGTGCTCCTGAGAGGGTGACAGAATGGGACTCAGCAATGGGGAAGAACTGGAGTAGGGCGGGAGGGGCTCCTCCTGAGAAGCCAGGGCCAGGCTCAGGCCTGAAACTGCCAAGGCTGGCTTAGGTCCCATGGAGGTGGGTGACAACTGCTTCTTGTCTCTAGAAGCTGGAGCCACGCTGGTCTCCAGGGTGGCTGGGGCAGGCCTTGGCACAGCGGAGGCAGACATCGCCAGCTGCCCTAGGGATGCTGAAGCCAGGACTGAGCCTGAGGCTGCTGGGGAAGGCTTGGGTCCAGCGGAGGCAGATACCACCAGCTGGCCCACACATATTGGAGCTTGGCTGGAGCTTCGGTGGACAGGAGCTCTCCTGTGTCCTCCAGGGGTAGAGAGCGGAGACAGGATGGTTTGGGGAGATACCAGAGCCAGCCTCGGCCCCTCTGAGGAAGGTGACATTGCTGCTTGTGGCCCCACAGGTGCCAGAGCCAACCTTGGTTCCAAGGGTCCTGGGGCTGCATTCTTCACTGGGGGCTGAAAACTTGAGACCACCTTGTAAAGGACAAATCAGTGACTCAGGGTGACCCTAACTAGGAAGTTGAGCCTTGACTTCCATATAGACCCGGGCCAATTCCAAAGGCATATCCTTCCAAGGAAGTTCTTCCTTCTGTGTCACTCCAGTCCATGCTGCAGGTCACCTTCTGTCTCAGAGGAGACAGGACATGACGCCTGTCCCTTCTCAGTCTAAGACTTCCTGCTCAGGTGTAGAAACTGAGACCCTGACTTGAATAAAACAGAGTGAATCTGAGGGTGCCCACGCCCCGCCTCTCCTGATCAGCTTCCCTGGGCAGCCCTCTCACAATCATAGTCCCAGGGGCTCTTCCAGCCATAGGCACCGGCCTGACCGCACGGGCCTGCCTACACCGGGCACACGGGCTCCCACACATTAAATACCTCTCCTTCGCTCCATGGGGCCCCGAAGCCCTTCGGTCCCCCCTTATCAATACCATCCAGCACCCCAACCTTGGTCACAGCCCAAAACTCCGAGCAGGAGCCAGAGCCGGGGACCAACACTGGTCATGTAGATTCCTAGCCCAGCTCTGCGTGACCTTAGGCAAGCCTCTCTGCCCGAGGCCTCCGTTTCTCTGCCTGTACGTGAAGGGACTGAATGAAAGATCCTTGACCGCAGTTTCCTCTTGGAGTCTGGATCTCATGCTCTGCACTTATGAGCCCACCATTTGCTGTAGTGGAATTCCACGGAGGGCTGTGGCATTAGCCCACGCTCTCCCAGCGTGGCTGCACCATTCAGAGCAGGTCGATCCTGGTCTTACACCTCTCGGTGCCCAGGTGGTACCCTCTTACCCTGTCTGCCCTCTCCTGACCTGGGAGTGCAGGCAAGCAGGTCGATCTTACGTCTGGCAGGTGGTGGGGGCACTCAGGGGCTTGCTCTGCTTTCCCCATCCGTCCTGTATTTACAGTGTCACTTGTCTTCAGAAGACAGGATAAAGTGTCCTTTGCCAGGGAGGACAGAAGGTCTATCTCTGCCCCAGGGTGGCTGCGTCCTGCCTCTAGAGAAGCAGTTCTGTCTGCCTCCTGTCCTTCTCGGTTCAGAGAACCTGAAACTCTGCTTCTACCTCCTTTCCTAAAACTCAGCTCTTTCAACTGCATTTTGGACATCTTCCTCGGCTCCAAGTGTCCCACTGTGTGCCCCCTCCCCCTCAACCACCATAACGCCTCCGGCACTAACAACTTAGCCATCCCAGATGTCACAGTTTTAGTCTTCAGAGACAAGCCTCCTCATTTTGCATTGGCTCAGAGAAGACAAGCAACTTGCCCAAGGTCACACAGCAAAGCTAGAGAACATCTGGGTCCCCTGACACCATAGTCCAGGTCCACGGCTCTTCTGGGGGCTCCTGGAGATGGCTAACTCTCTCTCGTCTTGGGCATCCCATCCTTGCCCCTCGGTCCCCAGGGTGACCTCTTTGCACAGCCCCTTCGTGGTAGGCACAGGAGAGCGCAGCCCCTTAGCCAGGGCATCAGGGTGCCTGCAGTGTGTGT